AAATCCTTTAAAACTTTTCTCATAAAAGGATTCAGAATATAAAATCGAAAGGTTTTTCCCCACTTACGAGAGCTCACAATCACCGACAATAATTTTGCTGTGTTTGCTGTACGACTTTTATCGTCGTAATGAGGTGCTTGCTTGCTTTTTATTATCTCAGTAATTGAGCGCGAGAATTAAATCAGTGATGCGACGACGACTCCAATATTCAGTAAAAATGTTGATAAGAACTAGATAAAAAATGGTAAGGAGTTGATATTGAAAAAGGTGCATAGTGGATAAGCCAGAGGGCGAAGAGATGCTATATATAGTTCGAAAGGGTGATGAATTTATATTCAAAGTGGGGAAAGCATGATATTGCAAAGGGTGATGAAATGATATTCAAAGTGGTGAAAGCTTGATATTGCAAAGGGTGATGAAATGATATTCAAAGTGGTGAAAATTTGATATTCCAAAAGGTTACGAATTGTGATATTGAAAGAGGTGAATGAAGTGAAAACTTAATATTGCAAAGGTTGAAGAATTGATGTTCAAAAGGGCTAAGACTTGATAATACAAATGGCGAAGAGTTGATATTTCAAAGAGTAATGAATTAATATTCCGAAGATTAAAAAATTGTATTATAAAGAGTTTAAAGTGGTTATTCCACCACAAAAAAGTAGGAGAATAGCAACAGAAAAAATCATTATAGCTAAAAAAAGCAACGTTTGTCTACAGTCTATACCGCTGTTATTTCGTCAATTACAGCGTTCCTGCTCGACGCCTGAAAGTCGAGAAAAACTCTGCGCCGCCTCCAGAAATTCCCTTGAAAAAACTTTGATGATCGCGATAAGGAAGTGGCAATACCGGGAAACATGGCACCGGCACCAAAAATGCTTTAATTTTTATTTCTGGCGTCTGAAAGAGAGGAATGAAGCGGCTGACGTTTACTCCCAGTTTTTGCCACTCCTTACTTAATTTTTTGAGAAAGTAAATTTAGAGACACGTGGAAAATTCCTACTACTTTTAACTCGCAACGCTTTCGAAAATTTTATATAAATTATACCACTTCTGTCAGGAGAAAATGAACGCTTCAGAGTTCATGCACAAGATCTGAATTCAAAACGCAGTTAAGATGTATATCCAGCTCAACAATAATGTATTTCTCTCGAAAAGGCGAATGTTATGGAAAATTCTAGTTAATGAATAATTTGTTCGTTTAATTTCCTTATAGGAGCGCGGGAAATTCCACGCAAAAGAGTAAAATTAAGAAAAATTTTAAATTACAAATAATTATTGGTCTGTTACTATTCCTTTATGTGGAAGTGAACTACGACTGCAATAGAATTCTTCATCTCTCCAAATGATGTTAGTCTTTTTTAAATAGAATTGGCATGTAATACTTTTCGCTGAAGATTAATTATATGGAGGTACACAATATTAACCACTGACAGATGAAATAACGCAGAACATTTGTGAGCTGGATTCATCTCTGTTTTACGTTAATCACAATGTTTTCAGATTCAAGTTCTTTGTTAGTTCTGAGTTTATCATATTGTATTCCGATTCAAGTTCATAGGAATTCCGTGTTTCTCACGACGTCTTCAGCTCCAATTTTTCATCTCACCTCATAATTTATGAGGTGAGGTGAGTTCATAGGTCAATTTATGAGGTGAGTTCATAGGTCAACAGGTAACGGGAGGTCAACAGGTAATGGGAGGTCAACAGGTAACGGGAGGTCAACAGGTAACGGGAGGTCAACAGGTAAACGGGAGGTCAACAGGTAACGGGAGGTCAACAGGTAAACGGGGGGTCAACAGGTAAACGGGAGGTCAACAGGTAAACGGGAGGTCAACAGGTAAACGGGGGGTCAACAGGTAACAGGAGGTCAACAGGTAAACGGAGTGCTGAGTGTACAATATTTCGTTGGTTGCAGGGAGGTGCTGGCAGCGTTCCGCAGTTCAGCTCTTGCCTTGAAGCAGCTGCTGGCAGATGACGGATCAGCTGACGCTGCAGCTGAGACTATGGACGAGCTGCAGCAGGTGACATAAGCCTCCTGTCTTCATCTATTGGGTTTTTCTACATTTTAATTTTTTAGTAACAAGGGGCAGGTTAATCTTTGATTACTTTTTTTATCTCTAAATAACGACTTTTTTTCTTACTATATCATTAGATTCATATTTCGTAGTAAAATTATTTTGTTTCAGGTTGCAGAAAAATTGCCAATCACAGGCTTGACGTGAGCTCTTAATGTTGAGGAAAGTACAACTATTGAAGTGGCGAAATATCCTTGTCTTGCCTATCTTGATTAAGCCGCGCACTAGATGTTACATTGCTTCGTCAGTTTCTTCACAATGTCTGATATTACATTTACCGCGTCAGGTGCTGGACGAGTGTCAGGACGTGAGCGGCAGCCTGAGCAGCGCCGTCGGTGACGAAGGCGACGCTGACGAGCTGCTGGCTGAGCTCGACGCGCTCGTCGACGAGGAGAATAAGAACAACAAACCTGACGATGACGTCGTGCGCGCACTGTACGGTCAGCACACACGCAGCCCTTCAGCCGTACGCGGTTGTTCCGTTCAACCGCTCGCGGCTGTTTCGTTCAGCCGTACGCGGTTATTGCCACCGACATAATTGTGATCTAATTGACGGCTGTTTTGTTACATAATCTCGGTTATTGCTATTCTTCGACTCTGAGGCAATTATGACTATTTGGTTTAGAACTCTAATTATTGCGCGGTACTTTTGTTTTGATCTCTTCTTATTGCGCGGTATTTTGGTTTATAAATTTTATTATTGTGCGGTACTTTTGTACTGATCTCTTATTATTGCGCAGTATATTAATTTAGATCTCTTGTTATTGTTCAGCATTTAGGTTTAGATCTCTTTTTATTATTGCGCGGTATTCACATTGCGTAATCCCCCAGACTTGAGTATCCCGGACCGGACTCTCACCACCCAACTCCACAACAACGAGGAAGACGAGTGCCTTCCCCCCACGCAGCTGGCGTGACCTCTTCCCCACGCAGCTGGCGTGACCTCCTCCCGCGCCCCCACGCACCTGGCGTGACCTCCCTCGCCCCACGCAGCTGGCGTGACCTCCTCCCTCGCCCCACGCAGCTGGCGTGACCTCCTCCCTCGCCGCCACGCAGCTGGCGTGACCTCCCTCGCCCCCACGCAGCTGGCGTGACCTCCTCCCTCCCCCCACGCAGCTGGCGTGACCTCCTCCCTCGCCCCCACGCAGCTGGCGTGACCTCCTCCCTCGCCCCACGCAGCTGGCATGACCTCCTCCCTCGCCCCACGCAGCTGTTCCGATGTTCATTCAATGTTCCGATGCCCTATCTATGCATCTCATACCGCTAGAATACGAAGGTGCAGGGAGTTAAGAATGTGTTCCTCATGTTCAAGCTCCAAGCACGCAAGTGAGGAGTGTTCTGCCAAACTTGATTACCCGTGTAGTATTTGTTCTTCAGAAAAGCATATTTCAGCTCTGTGTGGCAAGTATGCTCCTGAGAAAACGTTAGGCAACGTTTGTCTTAACAACGCTAGCGGGTGCGGAGGTTACATTTTGCCCACGCTGACCATTAAAGTTTGTCGCGGTAAAAGTGTGGCTAATGTGCGATGCTTGATTGACACCGGTAGTCAGCGTTCTTACCTAAAAGTCTTACCACCTCTAACAGATGCACATGTATTCAGAAGGACTGGTTTAGACAAATTTGTTTTGTTATCAGCAAAGGGAAATTTATTTCGCTTTTTAGGAATTACACTAGGTTTGTCGCAGGAAGAGGAAGCGTTATCTCTGGCTGGAGCCTTCAAAGTCAAAGTTTTAATTACGTCAACATAGTTATGGAAGATGTCATCAATAATAGGGTAATTATTTCCTACCTTGCGAACCATTTCCTGACGGAAGGGCAAGGGCAACTTGTTAAAAACTATATGAGAAATGAAATGCTTACTAGCATTTTCAGCAAGCAAATCCCTTCGGTATAGTTTCAGGTCAGCAAGCAGATATCTGACTTCATTGATGTACAATTTAGTTTGCAGGTAAGTTAAGTCAAATTTAGGTTTGCCATCCAAGAGTTTCTGGTACAGTTCACTCACTAGTGCATCTTTGTTCAAAAATTCTGCTTCTAGCAATTCAATAGCAACTTTATAATTCTGATCAGTTATTTGCAAGTGGTTAACTAATTTAAGCGCATAACCACGAAGGTAGCCCTTAAGATAAGTAAACCTCACAGAGTCAGAAAGAGAAGTTCTCAAACCAATAATGTTATTAAATTGAACAATAAATTTATGATATTCCAAGTTATTTGTTCCTTCCCCGGAAAAATGATCACAGGATAGATGAGGAAGTTTCAAGTCATGGCTGTAGTCATTGAACTTAGGTTTAGGCTTAGTAGCAAGATTATCAATTTTAGTTTTAATTTCCTGATCAACTGATTTTCAGTGTGAGTCAACTGATTTTCATAAATTGACATGTTTATTCGGAAAGTTTGGGTGTTATATGTGGATGATTTGCGAAGGAAGCGTTGTTTCCGCACGACAAGCAGCATGATTATAAGAAATAAGAAAGCTTGTATAGTTAAAATAAATTTATTTCGTACGACTCATTTCGCAGGAAAGTTTCTTTCCCTTACGTACAACAAGCATGGATTCTTAATCGGAGTTATTCATTCTGGAGGGATGTGTATATTTTTAGTTATTCTTGGCATTCAAGTTGTAGTGAAGCAGAATTCTTTCGCACTGAATATCCAAGAATATGAATTTGTATTATTCATACAAAAGAAATGAACACACTGCAACAATGAGTGAAGTAATCTCTTCAAATATTCGGATTCATCAACATGTTTGTAACATTTATAATTGTACATTAAATAATCAAATTTCACAACACGTGTACATTCATCAATGGCACATGGATGATAACTTCTTTAAAAAATTTCACTAATTTCTTGTACAATCTCTCGTACCCTAACCTGCATTATTCAGCTAGCATCAACTCTATGAACATCGTGGGGCGAGGGAGGAGGTCACGCCAGCTGCGTGGGAGCGAGGGAGGAGGTCACGCCAGCTGCGTGGGAGCGAGGGAGGAGGTCACGCCAGCTGCGTGGGGGGAAGGCACTCTTCTTCCTCGTTGTTGTGGAGTTGGGTGGTGAGAGTCCGGTCTGGGATACTCAAGTCTGGGGGATAACGAAACGTAAATACCGCGCAATAATAATGAGAGATCTGAACTTAAATACAGAACAATAACAAGATATCTAAACTAATATAGTGCGCAATAATAAGAGATCAGTACAAAAGTACCGCACAATAATACAATTTATAGACCAACATACCGCGCAATAAGTAGAGATCAAAACAAAAGTACCACGCAATAATTAGAGTTCTAAACCAAATAGTCATAATTGCCTCAGAGTCGAAGAATAGCAATAACCGAGATTATGTAACAAAACAGCCGTCAATTAGATCACAATTATCTCGGTGGCAATAACCGCGTACGGCTGAACGAAACAGCCGCGTACGGCTGAACGGAACAACCGCGCACGGCTGAAGGGCTGCGTGTGTGCTGACCGTACAGTGCGCGGACGACGTCATCGTCAGGTTTGTTGTTCTTATTCTCCTCGTCGACGAGCGCGTCGAGCTCAGCCAGCAGCTCGTCAGCGTCGCCTTCGTCACCGACGGCGCTGCTCAGGCTGCCGCTCACGTCCTGACACTCGTCCAGCACCTGACGGGGTAATGCAACATCAAACATAGTGAAGAAACTGACGAGGCAATGTAATATCTAATGGCATCACAAGATGACCAATAAAAAATTTTATGTTGATTTACCAATAAAATCTTTGAATTTTACTAAGAAATGTTTAATCACATATTGAATATCCAGAACACGACGAGATTAAATGAAACTACCGAGAATCATTTGAAAAGTTGGTCATGAAAACGATATGAAGCGTTCACGTTGATCGCGTGAACGCGTCTACACAGATCAGGAAAAGATATTTTTACCGGTGTTACTCTGAAGGTAAAATTCCTAATCGAATGTCCACTGGGCAATTATTCTTCGTTGGTTAATTAGTGGGATAGTGCGTGGCTGGATCGAGATAGCAAAGTACGGCAAGAATATTTCGCCATTTCAATAGTTGCACTTTACTCCATATTAAGAGCTCACTTCAAGCCTATACAATTGACAAGTTTTCTGCAACCTGAAACAAAATACTTTTACTACGAAATAAAATCTAATAATGTAGTAAGAATACAAATAGTCGTTATTTAAAGAAAAAAATTGTAATCAAAGATCAACCTGATCATTATTTCTAAAAATGAAAATGTAAAAAAATAGATGAAGACAGGATGTTTGTGTCACCTGCTGCAGCTCGTCCATAGTTTCAGCTGCAGCGTCAGCTGATCCGTCATCTGCCAGCAGCTGCTTCAAGGCAAGAGCTGAACTGAGGAACGCTGCCAGCACCTCCCTGCAACCAACGAAATGTTGTACACTCAACACTCCGTTTACCTGTTGACCTCCCGTTCACCTGTTGACCTCCCGTTCACCTGTTGACCTCCCGTTTACCTGTTGACCTCCCGTTTACCTGTTGACCTCCTGTTTACCTGTTGACCTCCCGTTTACCTGTTGACCCGAGCGTCGCGCAGCTGGTCGCAGCAGCAGGTCGTGTTCTCGAGGGCGCCGCAGTGCGTCTTGAGCGACGCCTCGACGCGGCGGCGGCGGCGCAGCAGCGACAGCGCCTGCGCCGTGAGACGCACTCGTCAAGTAACACGAATTTACTATTAGCATTTCTAGCCATAATAACTACTTCAAGTTTTAGAATTATTACTTCTTATAATCCGGTTTTCACTTACACCTAATTTAATTCAGCGAGGATGATAAATTAATGATGGCTAGGACAAAAAACACCAAACTGAGGGAGGTTCGGTGCTACATAATCTTGGATGATGTATACTAACAAACCTGGCGAGGGTTATATCGAAAACTACCTCGAAACTCCTACGGATCTTTCAACGGATACCAAAATTTACCAGCCTAACACTTCTAGACTTCAGTATACTATGCAACATAGAGCAATAACATCCCTACAAACATCCCTATGGGTTTGCCTCCCCTAGACCTGGGTGGTATTGAGGACACACAACAACAGCACCCTTACGGACGCCCCCATAGGGCTGCCACCCCGCCTCCCCAGACCTGGGTGGTATTGAGGACACACAACACCCCTACACACGCCCCCATAGGGCTGTCACCCCGCCTCCCCGGACCTGCGTGGTATTGAGGACACACAACAACACCCCTATAAACGCCCCCATATTGCAGCCACCCCGCCTCCCCAGACCTGGGTGATATTGAGGACACACAACAACAACAACACCCTTACAGACGACCCCATAGAGCTGCCACCCCGCCTCCCACAACCTGGGTAGTGTTGCGGCTGGCGGCTGCGCGCTTCGCCTGCTGACGCAGCAGGGCGCTTAGGTCGCTCAGCTGCTGCACACGTTCCTCCAGCATGCGACACGTGTCACGCAGACGCGCTTCCACTGCAATGGTCAGGGCGGTGAGTAACAGATGATGGACAACATGGAAAGTATCGCGAGAACATGAAGAAGAGGAAGTGGTACGGCGTGGGCATGCTACCCTGCACCCAAGTCATCACCCACCATAAAACCCCTATAGGGTTGAATCTTCACCCCGACGTCCTCATCAACCCCGGGCCATCACGTCTCATAAAACTCCGTCATCTCTTGCCAGGCTTCTCTACCCATCCCACCTCGCAAAGAGGGGTCAAGCTATAAAAAGTCTACCTAGCTATTTTCTCTCTCATTGTCTTTCATTCCCACAACTCGTCACGGTCCTCAACGGCGTCTTCCTAGTGCATCTCACCGTCCATCTAGGTCTTATTCCCTCACTCGTCTCTGCTAAGGGTTAGCTCTCTTCACACGTCCCTGCCAAGGACAAGCTCCCCTCACCCGTCTCTGCTAAGGGCAATCCCCCACCAGTCGCTGCTTATTGCCAGCTCCCCAGACCCGTCTCGGCCAAGTACAAGCCCGTCTCTGCCAAGGGCAAGCTTCCCTCACCCTTCTCGGCCAAGGGCAAGCTCCCTCACCTGTTTCTGCCGAGGGCAGGACGTAGCCTGAGGGGAAAGTACAGCCGGGGGCAGCAAACTTGACGTATAGAACACCGTCGCTGCCCTCGGCCACGGCGGCCAGACCGTTGCGCGCCAGCCACCGCACCGCCAGCTCCAGGGACGACACAGATGGGAGTACGTCACGCAGCTCCGCGCACACGCTGCTCAGCGGCCGCGTCTGCCTGCACAGAACGGGTAATGAGTACGTGGAGGTAATAAGAGGGTTCTGGGGGTGAGGAGGACACGAAAGGGAGTTATGATGGGGGTTCTGGGGCGAGTAGGACATGGATGCAACAGCTGGCCCAATGGAGGGTAGATAGACGGAACACATGTAACGTTACATCCTCGACTCGAGGGCGGGGCGACCTGCCTAGCGACGACTTAGAGACGAACGACGACGAAAAGATACCGTACACAATGTACCTATATAGCCAATAAGGATCGAGAAGATACTTAGTAGGAATTTATGAAAAATATAAAACAGACACACAATAAAGAGTTAACGATATGAAACAACAGGTAAAGAGGTGACGATGTGAGGCTGTGAGCGCAGGATACACTTGGGACACTCACGGGAGATCGTGGCTGCTGTTGCTGTTCCTCTTCCAGAATTCATCGTACAATTCTCTGCTGCGTCTCTGCAAAAAAAAAAAAAAACTTCTCAGAACTCGAACCTGTCGATGGCGGCACATTTGCCAGGTAACAAAAAATTGTAAGTGTTGGTTAAATAGCATCGCTAGCAAACGCCCAGCCAAGAGCTAATGTTACAACATCATGAATGTAATGATGTTGCGGGGTCAGGAGGCATTGGTACTGGTCAGAGAGTAGGGGTACTGGTCAGAGAGTAGGGGTACTGGTCAGTGGAGGCAACATAAGCAGCTTCACGCCCCATCTTCCCCACGACTCTTCCTCGCCGCCCTCTGCTTCCCTCCAAGCCAGCGAGGAGGCGGTGCTCAGACTCCCCTTTAGGGAAACTTCACATCTCAATTTTACTTTAAATATTCGATTCAATCAATATCATAATCGATATAAAACTCGGTACCTATAACTTTGTCAGTAAGGCAATACAGTACCGACAGTAATTTTTCTTCAGATAGTTCATAACTATGTGTTAAGTGAGCTTACAAAAATAGCAGGATATTACTATTATCTAAAAGATACAACTAAATGATAACAAAAGAAAATAAGGGAATGGGAATAAACCAAAAATATGTTTACTTTGTAACGCTGTTCTTTCTCTTAAATTTCACAGTACCAATCAAAATACGCACAATATTGAGCACCTAACTCAAGACTGCATGAGAGAGCTCTCTTTGCTACAATGCTATATCTTATGCTTAATGAAACGTTACTATACTTACCCCCACACTACAACACTTTAACTTGTACTGTACTAATAGTTCGCTAAATTTTTACGTTTCAAGTCAGAAAATGCAAAGAACTGAGAATTACACTCAAGCCTGCGGTTGCACTCTGAGATGAGGCCGACTTGGTCCAAATAACGATGCACTTTTCGGCCTTTTACGAATCCTGCAGCTGACCCAGTTTGTTACCATAAAAAGGTTGTATCCCTGCTACGTACAGAAAGTGTGTCACTAATTTGACAATATGACACAATAATATTTGTGAGTATGCCACGCAACACACCTTCTGTAGGAGGTGCGTGAGCAGCTCGGTGAGGCACTGCGGCGTCTGGCACTTGCGTACGAACGCTTGCTCGACATCCTGCTCACTCAGAAACACTTCATTTAAATTAATTCTGCTCAGTGAACTTAACAAAACATGAGCAGAACTTGATACAAATGGTACATACCAAACACAGCGTATAGGATTCGCACCAATGTAATATTATCAGACTTGATAGAAATTATGTTCGTGATCTACGCCACTTTAATGTTGTCAGATTTTAAAAAAGTAATATTCACAATACATACAAACGCAACTTTAATATTATTAGACTTAATGCAAATTATATTCAAATTAACTTATGCAGCACAATGAATATGGTTTCCACAACTCGTGTAATAATATCAGTATGAATTGTAAGTTCAATTACTGTAGCTGAGAAGTTATTTGATGTAGGGGTGAACAAAATGACAATATAGGGTGAACAAGGTGAACAAAATTAAGATGTTAGGTGAAGAAGATATATTTAGTGAACACAATGAACATGTTAAGCGAACAAGATGAATATGTTAAGTGAATAAGATGAACATGTTAGGTGAACAAAATGAACATGTTAGGTGAACATAACAACCATAAAGATCGAAGATTCAGAAAATATAGAATGAACAAGGCGACCACGCAGGTTGCGAACAACAACTTGAAAGCTGAGATGAATATGTAAGTGCACCAGACCTGCAGAGTGAACATGAACATGTAAGTGCCCAGACCTGCAGAGTGAACATGAACTTGTGAGTGCACCAGACATGCAGAATGAACATGAGCATGTAAGTGTCCGGACCTGCAGAGTGAACATGAGCATGTAAGAGCCCGGACCTGCAGAGTGAACATGAACATGTAAGTGCCCGGACCTGCAGAGTGAACATGAGCATGTAAGTGCCCGGACCTGCAGAATGAACATGAACATGTAAGTGTCCGGACCTGCAGAGTGAACATGAGCATGTAAGTGCCCGGACCTGCAGAGTGAACATGAACATGTAAGTGC